TGCCACTCGATTTGTCAACTTATCAATCTGAGATGATTGTATGTTATTTAATATTTGTACATATTAAACACACACAGACATTACATATGTATTAAAATCTCTTAACGACACACACACACACACACACACACACACACACAGACAGACAAGTGCAAGCACCGACACGACACAAGATGGATTGCAATGTCATACCTCGAAAAACAAGTCGAGTTCATCGTCCTGATCACGTTAAAACAGTTGTGCGTAAACATTTGCGAAATTTCGTCTCGCTTATGCGCCTTTATTTAACAGACATTCATAATAATAATAAAACCGTGAAGTATCTTCTATTTATCGCCCGGCGTGTTTACGATATTTTGAGACAATGCCCACGTCACTGTTATATAAAAAAGCGGTTACGAAAAAATCCAAAATTCTTGACCTACGAAACTGTGAGAATTTTGCATAACGTTTCGTATATTTGCCACTCGATTTGTCAACTTATCAATCTGAGATGATTGTATGTTATTTAATATTTGTACATATTAAACACACACAGACATTACATATGTATTAAAATCTCTTAACGACTAATATTTGTGTACCGTATGCTGCTATAATCTTTGACCTTGGAATACGCTGTTGCTTAATGTATACCAGATAAACTCAATCAATTATTTTTCTCACAAGTATCAATATATATTATCAATGCCGAAAAGATTTTTTTCATATTTGATAAATCTGCATATATTATTATTCTTGTTATTTAATTTTTATTATTTCTTTATTATTATATAATATATCTCTCTCTCATACACATACACATCACATATATGATAACACACTTNNNNATTTATTTCTATATATAAATAATTTTAAATAAATTAAAAAAGAATTAAAAATGACAGCAGCATTTCTGAAAAATTTTGTTAATGCTCTAGAATTAAACATAACAATATATACGGGTATGAAATGCAGCCCTTTTCCAGCTAGATGAAACGCGAATGTCAACGACGATGACAACGACGACGACGACAACTACGGCCGGGCTTAAGTGTCGGTGATCTCACTTTCGGGGAATGCCGTCCGGGCGTTTCACCGAAGTGCATCGTTCGTTGTCGCGACAACGATATCGACCTCTCGTATCGCCGAGAGTCGAGTCGCGCCGCGACGTCCGTCTCTCTCGCGGGGTCAAAAATAAACGAGATTCTGTCTTGGTGTCGGCGAGAGGTAATGGCGGAGAAAGAGAGAAAGAGAGAAAGGGAGTCTCGCGCGCAAAAGGAGTATCGATCGCGTTATCGTCGGCGCGCGTTGGACGGCCGTGAAACACGCACGCGGTCTGGCGTACATTTTATTCAATCCTCCGAAAAGCCGATATTCAGAGCGCGCGAGTGACATAAGAGAAGCCGCCAGTCGGTTGATCGACGGAGAGAGAAAGAGAGAGAACGAACGACAGCGTAACATCAGGTCAACGCCGATATATCGTTTAGCGACGCGACGACATTGACCAAGGTCCAGTCTTAAAATGACAGATAACGACGTTGCAGCGTTCATTGCCGATAAGAGTACGCGATGATGATAAATTTAGAAAAAAAATAACAAATATTTATTAAACAAACAAATTATCGAGAAGGAGAGAGATCTCGAGAGTGCTCGATGACAGATGAATACTTTTTTTCCTCCATCACTTTTTCCCACATAATCGCGCGATACCCTGTATAAGATTATTAACTGCCGAGGCAAGGTCTCTCTCGGTTGAAATTCGGCGAAAAAATTTCACGGCAGACGGTTACGCAACGGAGGACAACGATTACTCGCAATCGATCGACCATTTGCCTTTGTTAGTATAAGCCGGATCCTCCGTTATACGATTCCATTGTTTTCCGTCGTTTTTTCCTGCGGTTAACCAATCGTCCCCGTTATCAGGCGTTATCAACGATCAAGAGCAAACAAGATCGAGAACAAATGTACCGACAATGAAATCGCACACGCTTGCTAACATTTCTTTCTCTCTTTGTCTTTCTCTCTGTCTGCAGGATGCATATAATGTAATGTGAATCGCGCTTTGTACTTTAATCTCGTTCCCTCACTCCTCGCCCTCTTACGCAATTTATATATACGCGCATCTCAAGAATAACACCAAGCTTCGAGAGACAAACGTTCAATATCTATATCGAGTAATATCGGCTATGTGAACTTTTTTCTAAGGTAGACCTTCGCGTCTATATATATATATTAAACGTTCGGCTCGTCTAACATTTATATTTAATCCCGTGTGCGCGACGCTTTGCACTTTTTCCTCTACGTAGCCGTTTGAGGCGATAAAATAAGACGGTCTAACAAAGTCATACAAAGTGCGTGTCGTCTTAGAGAAGACGCCTCTAGCGTGCACACCTCGCGCACGTCAAAAGAGTCATCCAAACCGGTTAAGGGGGCTAACCCGAAACCGCATTTCTCCATCCGTCGATTCGTCGGGACGCGGCGGGACGTGAAGGGAATAAAAACAGGGGGAGGTGGAACGGGACGAGGGGATGAGCGGTATCGAAGTGATCCGGAACGACTTGCATCACGATCGGAGTCGAGAAGAAAAGGCGACGGTCGTAATTGAAAATTTGCTAGTTGCAACAGAGTCGAAAATCTGCCCACGCGTGTGTTCGATAAATATATGCAATCCTGAAAATGAATTTTAATTTAACGACTAAGCATGAAAAAGAAAAGTGAAGCGAGAAAACGATAAGAAAAAATTCACGATAAAAAAAAGAGGGAAAAAATTCAAGGAAATTTCTCTATATATATATTAATCAACAAGAACCGGTAAAATTTCTCTCTCAACTTGTAATCTCTCGATACGATATTTTTCTTATCAGATATAATTGAAGTGAACATGGCAATAGCGAAGAAAAAAGAATTTATACGAAAAACTTACATAAAATCTTTTCAATCTGTCATAATCTTCTAATCTCATCTCGCTCATAAATAAATTAAGGATAAATTTTAATCGTCACGCATAAAAATAAAAATGTGTAACATTATTTTTCTCGTAACGATAACGTGGAGATTTGGCCTCGTAAGAATTATATTTAGACGAGATTTTCGATTTCTGACGATGAGATATTAATAATGACTAACGCGATGAGATTTTTGCCGAGCGATTACGCACGGAGATTCGCACGAAGAAAGCGAGGAGGAAAGAAAGAGAATCGCTGCGTAGTGGAGTAGGAGGGCGTGAGAAAGAGTGAGACAAATGCGGCGACGCGGGCGCGCGAGCGAGACAGCTGATTCACTCGCATGATAGAGCAAGGTGCAATGCCTCGGCACCGGCGATGCACAAACAGCGTCGGACGTCGCGATCCGCACCAGCCAAGGTCACCCGGGTAATGTCCCGATGCCCCCTATGCAGGACAAATTCAGCCACTCGGCCGAAAGCTCTCGAGAGCTCTCCGCGACGGCGCGGCGTGTTGGCGAGACGAGAGGAGGAAACCGACCTCTCTTCCCCTCCGGATCCCGTCTCGCTCTCTCTCTCTCTCTCTCTCTCTCTCTCTCTCTCTCTTTCTCTCTTTCTCTCTTTTCCACCGCACTTCTCCCTTTTCCTCTGGAATCTGCTATCGAGGGGGAAGCCTGCGGTTAAAGCCGGTGCAAGCGCTCGTTCGCGCGTTCGAGCAGACAAGAACGCGTTATGCAACGATTGGGCTTGTATGATCGCCAAAGTACGTTAATCCTCTCTCCAATTCGCGTAACAATTTATCTTTTACGAAATATATATTTATTAGATGTGGACAAAGCGGTTAAAAAAATAGTTTCGCTCAAAAAAAAAAAAAAATATATAAATAAATAAATAAAACATTTCGAAAATTTATTTTTCATGAAAATAACAGAGATACACGAATAGAAGAAATTATGTCATTATTATATCATGTTAATTTACAAAAACAGTTAATATGATTTAATAAAAGGTGAATACAAACAAATATAAAAGAGAGACAAAGAGAGAAACGTAAGCCATATAAAAGAGAAAAAAATAAAATAAATGATACAAATTCTCGTTACGAAAAAATATTCAAATATTTTATTGCTCTTATAATTAAAAAAATTATTTCGATCTATTACTCTATATCTTTAAATATTCTTGTTTTATATTTTAAACATTATTTTTCTCATCTCTTTCTTTCTTTCTCTCTCTCTCTCTTTCAGTATAATAAAGTAAATAAAAATGTTATAATAACGAAATATGTTAAGATAACGGGTGGATTTAGCGTTTAAGTTCGTTGCCTCTAAAATTTAAACTCTCCCCCCAAAAGTGTTATAAAAAAATTATTAATATATTAAAAAAATCGATTAAATAGAAAGTAATCCGATATCCGAACACAATTTTCGATATTGACGCGTGTAACGCACGTATCAGTCACCCAAATTTATTACATAAATAGACGTCTCGGTGAGAAGGATCAGGTTCGATAAACACGGCGAAAGAAATGGAGTGTCTACACGTGTTGAGCGTGTTTTTTGCATACCAAAAATCATCGGAGAGGGCAGGGGGACGAAAGAAAAAACGGGCGCCATTGCGCGCTTACGCATGTTGTGCAGCAGCATGGCATGCTATGTACTTATTTTTATGACAGACGCGCACGCGCACGCGCACGCACGCTATCACGAGCAGCTTCGTGGAATATATATATATATATGGTATATATATATTTTGTTTGTGGCGCATCCGTCCGCTGACGAAACCGGATGACGCTCTTGAGTTCGAAAGAAATTTAAACTTCTCTTTAATGAAAGAGAGCGCAAAGAATAATTTAAAAAAAGAAGCGTGCAATTTTCTTTATCAAACAATGCGGTTTCAAGGAATGCTTAAATAATAGTGTTAAATTATAGTGTTTTGTAAGTAAAAAAAAAAGGTAAAAAATATTTCTACAAATATCATGGATATTAGAATATTGGATGTGCAAATTTGTGAACTCTGGAATATTGAAATCTAAAATTTTCTTTATTACGCTTTCCAAACCGTAAAATCCAACATTTCAAGGTTCAGCTTCAGAAACTGAACTTCTGAAAACATATTCAAAACGCATTTTTTAAATATATTTAATGTCGCAAGAGAGATCTCAAGAGTCAGCTGTTACGACATCGTGTTAGCGGAAAAAGGCACGCGTGGATTCGAGAAGAGTGTGCCGTTTGTTTCCGATACAGAAAACGCGTCACTATCTTGGCGGACGCCCAATTAAACGCTTTCCTTTTGTAATATCATCTTTGTCGGCGCTATCGCGCGTCTATACCGCGTATTCTGCGAATAAAACAATGAACGCTGGCATAGTTTTATGAAGAAAAACCGATTATTCACTCAAAGTAGCAAGCAAATCATCATTCTCGGAACGAGTGCGTCGAATTTTTCATCCAAAATTTAATTACCACAGCGTAGGTCGTTAGAATTCACAATGACGCAACGCTTTGTATTCCCGTCGAATCGATATCATTTCACGATGCTGCATATCAGTCGGCGAATCAAGCCAATTCCAAGTAAATTGATAGACATTACCCTGTTTGTTTTTCCGATATGTCGGCATGATTTGCATCGGCGAGTTTTGCGAAAAATTACGCAATTCGAACGAATCCGATGCAAGCGCACATTATCAAAACGCGTATTATCTGTCGCTGATTATTTATGCAAGATGTGCCGTTTAATAAGACGCAGAGAGATGAATGCGGGCTGCCCAGATTTAAAAATAGATCACTTTACGTCGAATCACATTGCATCCGTTTGGCGCGTGTCGCGAGACGTACTTCTTCGTTCTAACGATTTTACAAAATTATAGCGGTGATATATATATGTGCGTGTAATTTAGTTCGACACGTGGCTTTGTTTACCAATGAAAAGCACGAGCCGCGTTTTTCCCATTGATGCGACACATCATGACAATATATTATCTCGCACACATCACTTCCCTTTTTAATTTTGTCGACGTTGCCAATTTAATCGCTCTCAGTTCGTAAATTAATCACATAATACTAATATAATTGCTGTAATATATATGTGTATGTGTGTGTGTGTTATTTCGGCACGTGGCTTTATTTACCAATGACAGGCAAAGCACGAGTCGCGTTTTTCCCAATGATGCGACACATCATGACGATATATTATCTCGCACACATCATTTCCCTTTTTAATTTTGTCGACGTTGCCAATTTAATTACTCTCAGTTCGTAAATTAATCGCATAATATTAATCTAATTGCAGGAAGAAAACTCATGAGTGTCTTGAGCAACGAGGTTATTTTCAGTACATATTTTTCGAGATGCGACACATGTGGCGTTATTATTTCGTATCATTTTTCATCTCGATTCTATATGTATATATGTGTGTGTGTGTGTGTGTGTGTGTGTGTGTGTGTGTGTGTGTGTGTGGATGTAGCAATTAATTTATTTACTATCTTAATAAATCATTCGTATAATAATGATTTAGTTGTAGGTGGAAAATATTACGATATATATCGAACAATAAGATTATTTTTAATATATATTAATCTAACATTTATTACACGAAAAAATATTTTGCATTAAACGTTTATCCCCCAAAAATTACATTACGTCAATTATTTAGCACGAGAACCATGGCCGTTTAACGGCACACTGATATTCAAAGTTCCACGTCACGTAAATTTCAAAAACCATAATGCCATAAATATCAGTTTTAACTTTCTCTTGACAATAACGTGCATTTCTCTTTATATACAAAGTATAACAAAAAAGATGTCCTACTGTAAGGGCGGATACGCATAAAAATAATGAAAAGGTTTCTGTCAATATTATAGGTCCGCAAATAACCCCCTATCGATTTATAGACATTACTTTAGTGCTTAAATTCGATTTGTTAACGAACAGAATACATTTCAAATTGTCAGAACAAGTGCAAAAAATAAAAAAGATATTCTTGCACGATGAATGACGTCCTTGTACGACAATTATGTAGTATAACTGTTCGCTTCGTCTCTTTATGTTCGCTATAACACGTTTAAAAAGATACCAGATAATATCCATAACTTGGGCGGGCATTTGCGGAGCTATGTTAAAAGGAATTTCTTTTCATTATTTTGATGTGTACTATACACCCTTAAGGTAGGACACCTTCTCCGTTACACTCTATAGAAAATAATTCCTTTTCTTCAAAGATACGATTCTTCAAACATTCTTGAATTTCATCTCTTGCATTTCATTGCATGATATATTTTCATAAACTGGATTACGAGACAATATGTATCGAAACAAATGTCATAAATCTCTAAATAAAATTGATATTACAATTAATTTTTTATTTGCATATCTTTTACCGTTAATATATTATACATATAAAATGCTATTTATATTTAGATTATATACAGACAAAAGGGGAGAAATTAATGATATTCTCGTATAAACCGAGCTTCCTGGGAGAAATAATGTTTAAGTTTGTGAAGTAGATTTTTTTACAAAATTTCGCGGAAATCTGAATGAACTTTGTTTAACTCAATTTTTCGATGATTAATAAAGTAAATGGCATTGCGGCAAATTTGCACGGTAAGAATCAAATACGCATGCAAAGATGAATGCAGATTTATTCATATTCATAGACGCGAGGGAACGCAAGCGGAGAGGGAGGACAATAATATTGCACCGCGTAGTTTATGAACCGTCTTCTCTTCTTGTAAGTTATTTCCATCTCGACAATCCGACCAGATACGTTCCTCAACGTACAACGACCCTATTCAGAACACGGCTCGTATCGGCAGATATCCCTCGCCCCACGATGCTAACTGATTAAAACCGATCTTCTCGATTGCGTAACGCTGTAACGATAAATGATTACGAGATGTACGATTATACCGATGCTAATGCATAGCAAACTTTTTATAAGCGCGATGTGTATTTAAATTGTCTTTTCGAAATGTAGTTAAATTTACAAAAATCAATCTTTCTTTTAATATTAAAAAATTAAAATTAAAATTAAATTTTCAATTAATATTAGAGAGACATTTTTAACAAAACCATGAAAAGCATCGCCTTTATAGAAATTTAATTTCACTTTAATTTCAATTTTATAATCGAATATTTGATTTGAGAGAAAAAAGAAGCCATAATTAAGTTCTACTGGCCCTTCTCTTTCATGATAGAAATTTAACTGTAAGAAATTTAATAAGCATATCACGCTAAAATATCGTAAATATCGAAACCTTCTGTAACATATATGTGAATTTACAAAAGACGTAGATTACATACATAATATTGCATCGAATTTGCATTCGTTGCATCATTATCTCGATTTACTTTTTTCCTTCTTCTTTTTTTTTTTTTTTTTTTTTTTTTTTTTTTTTTTTTTAAATTTTGTGGTTAGCATTATTTAACAGCATTGCTTTCCAATTAAACGGCATTCTACTTTTCGCGTAATCGTGAATATTGCTCCCGGATATTGTCTTCACACAACGCTGATTGTGTTTTTTTTTTTTTAATACACACGGCTGGCGTTTAATAAATGGCATGATGTCCATTTGGAGATATCGTTCATATTTTCGCATTTCGTTTTTCATCGATAAAATGTTTCTTTGTTTACGGAATCTTCTGTTATTAACGATTTATGTTTTATCATGCAAAATTTTATTACAAAAAATGTATTGCGTGCGTTGAGATAATATCAGATTCGAGATAATATTAATATAGATACTTTAATTTGATTCGATTAAGATTAAAATGTAATTAATTTATCCTATACGTTAAAAATATATCTCGTAAAATAATTAACCACGTTTGTTTACTAACTTAAGTTTGAAGAATATAAATCAATTTATATAAGCTTTTGAATAAGAATTGAAAGAAGATTAAAGGAGATTGATATATAAGTACAGTCTTGGAAGTAAACAACTGTGATACTGAGGATAGAATAAATTAAGCAGTTCAAGAAACTCTAGGATGTATACACCACGGCTGGATAATTTTGAAACCAAGTACATTTTGAAACTTCCTCTGTTATCGTGCCTAGCGACGCATAATCGACACAGCATTTACATAAATGCATCGGGCAAGTGCAGTCAACTGCAATAAATTGAACTTTACTAAACTCTCTTCCAAAATTGAGTTTTCCTAAGTCGTTTTATCCCGTTGATTACCTATTATCTATTTACAGCGTATATGTAATGATTAGATTTTCTGTTGCTAAGATTGATCGATCTTCGCAATTTACATCTATTTTATTTATTTATTGCCGAACAACTTCCGCTCTTACTTAACGAATCGCGACAGGCAAATTACGAGTCGCCATAGATTGCATTTAGCTAACCATTTTGCGTTGAGAGGGCAAAAGGAAAAAAGTAATACGAAGAACATTTTCATTTTTTCCGAGCTCAAAATGAATCCGTGCGGACTCGATTCCGAAGACTGTGGGAATTACTTACCATAAATTATTATTGGAATACGGTCCGCAAAATCTACATACTCTTTTAGATTAACCATTCCCTTGCGTTTCGATTCTGCCCTGACATAATCGATATGATAATTTTAATAGAGAAAGCAAAATTCAAATTTTTTGTTTATATAATTTTTGTGGTATTATACGTGCAGAAATAACATTATTCTAATATATCAGTGTCATCATTGGATTATTGTACCGCGAAAAAATATGGAAAGAGGATTGCATTAACGTATAAAAATGTCACGAACACCTTGGACTAACTTTTCGGTTCTGCACCAAAATATCGACCGTAATATCTCCTGGAACGACTACGCAGGCATCAAGATGTCTATCGGTTCGAAGTGAAATGTTACGTTATTATTTTTCTGGTGCCGCGCCAGCCGAACTCGGTGAATTCCGTGGAAGTAATGAAAATTTTTCCCTAGAAAAATTCGATTTCAACTGCATGTACGGTGGCATGGTTTTTATTTAACATTCTTTTGTTGTCAACTTTTGTGTTACATTCAATAGCAACGTGATACCAACAGAATAAAATTTACGCAACGTAAAAACTCATATTCGGTGCGTATCTGATAAAAAAATCGCTTTTACATACTTGATTATCCTGGATTAT